TTCAATGAAGGACGATTTTGTTCAGCTGTGCTGCTTGTGAAATGCTATGTCAAAATGAAAGAGCACTGACCGTCGATCACAGACGTTTTACAATGAATGGTTCAGAACCATTTCCAAAGATTTTGTGAGGTAAAGTAGTAAATGCGCAAGGACTTTTTCGACAACCTGATAATATTATAATATTCAACCTCAATTTTAGCCTGCATTTCTATGAATCATTTCAGCACTGTGATGCAAACGAATGGATTCGGGTGGCAATGAAAGACGAAAGAAAGGTTCAGCTAGAAAATGAGAAGCTGGCTGTTCGAGGCGAGGAACGAAAGTTTGTAAACAGTTGACATGTTTTTCAAGTTGTGCAACTCAAACTATGGGATGTTGCCTTGTTGAGATGTTGTAATATTTTTCTTCACTGCATTAATCAAACGGTCAGAAATTCGCCGCCAGGAATACGTGTCTATCTCATTTATAACTTGCCTTTTCGTTTTTATCATTTCTGTGGATCTTCCAGAACGAAGCATACCGACGTCAGGTTGCTAGTTTTGTACTGATTAACATTCTCGTTGTCTTGTGAATAATTGAACCGAAGAGACTCAATTTATAATAAATCGCATGTTTGTAAGGATCTGTAATCTGTGGAGGATTTTCATCGATTTAACACTCAGCTTATTGCCACCGACTTAAAGGCATGGGTTGCGACTTGTCCTTCAGGGTAAGTTTTTTTTCGTAAAGAGAGTTAAGATCCCTGAGTGGCAGATAAGTTGTGCGCTGTCGCTACTCTAGACGTGATACACAAGGGATTGAGAGGGGCTTGTCTGTGATCGAACCGCTGTCCACTATTTAACGTCCGTTGTATATGTGTGCTGCGTCCTCTCATGAAACATTTTCCCGAGAATACTATCTCTGCTCACCGCGCTACGCCTGTCTGCAGTATCACAGTCGACATTCAAAGAAAAATACGTTCTTATTCGACTATTTTCCGTGATTCCCTTGGTTATTTTTTCTCGTGGTCCTCTTCGCAGCTTCTGTTTCATTTTCGAGTGGGAAAGTATCCTGATTCAATAACGATCGTATAACTTCGTATAATGTATGCTATACGAAGTTATTACGCTATCCAAGTTGTGCCAAGTCTCTGGCGCTCTTTATGTTTCGCTTCTTTTACGCAAACACTACTATATTGATGCTATCAAATGCATTTGAAAGTTTGAGCAAGCGTTCAATTTCTTCGGGAACAGCAAGTGTGGTCACATTCGCGAACACAGAAATACCACACGCAGCAACCAAGACATCTTTGGAACCTCCATATCACTACCGTATAATTGCTCGACGTTGAAAGTTTGGGGTATATTCCAGTTAGGGGGCATCATGATGCAGCTTCTCGGCGAACTAGTGTGAACTCGAACATTCCAGCTTTTCACGCATGTCAAGTGACTGCCCTCACCCCCCATCCCCCTAAACTGGCTACGCTCCCCACTGACTCGGAGTTACCCTAGCTTTCTGGGAAAAACTGCATCATGATGCTCCGTCCACTTGAATATGACCCAAGGTTTGTTACCTACATAACCATGACCAATGTTTGCTTGGTACGCTATTCATTGTTTGATTAGCCAAGACCGCACGTCTGTAGTTGTACGCTTTAGATTCAAAGACAAGCCCACTCACGCGCTTAAATCTCTGGGAATCGGCTATTGTTTCAATAACAACACATGAAAGTACCTTTACCGTTCGCGTTCACAACAAGTCGTCAATACCTTCGTAATTACATATAGACGTTTAACATGAGGTTGCTTTGCAGTCGACTGACTCGAACGCGTATACCTATTCCACGAGAAATGAATAATTATCGCTTTTTTGAACGAACATATTTTTCATGCTTGGAGCTTTGTCTCGTTTGATTTTTGAAATTTAACGTAGGTTCAACGAGGGTGAACCGTGTTCTACACCGTCGCTTGAATGTTTCCTTCCCTACTACGGCCGGATTGGTTTTATGGACGTTGCGTTTTTATGAATGAATCACAATTTATTGATTGTGAACGACTTCAACAATTTGATGGCACCGCTTTACGTTTACTGGATTGAGTCCTTCGTTTTGTCTTCTACGGTGAAAAAAGCACGCCCACCTTGCTGCACTAATTTCTCCAATTAGGCGAAATCGTCAAACCGCTGGCGAGTGCTTTAAGTACTTGCTCGTCAGACGGGCCCTTACAAAAACTAAAAGGGACGAAGCGATTTCGTCCTGTCTTTGGGTTGTTCCACGCAGTCCATGAAGCTGATTTGAAAGTAAGCACCGAGCACCTCAATTTTCAAAATTTCACTGCTTCTTTTGGAACCACCATTATGAAGTGTCATTGCTAGCACAATTGCCTACAACCGTCCTCCATCTATCCGCAGTTCATTCCCCCCCCCCCCCCCCCAAAAACCACTGCCGGTTCGAATGATAATTGGACGTCTGTTTCGCGGTTATCGTAGTCCTTCATCTTCATTCATCTCCAAGAAGTGAGTAAGATGTCGGTCAGACTCTGCGTTTTTGCATCGCGCGATGCAGTCGCTTTGCCAAAGTGCAAGCGGCGGGCAATGGCCTATCGATCGTCGACTGCGTCGATGTGGGCTGGGGCGGGGCCAATCGCCCGTCGCTTGTGCACATTGCAAGAGCTACTCCATCGCGCGATGTAATCGCAGAGTCTGACCGACATCCAATAAACAAACGCTACAACTGGTGGTTGGCTGGTATAACCATCTCCGTCCTACGAGAAGGCGGCGCGAAACACTGGAGCCCAAGATTTTGGGTATATTCTGGCAATCGTTGCCTTACATTTGTTGTCGAGTTACCGGCGCATGGGGAATTTAATCTATTGAAAGTCACAGGTTTGTGATATTCGAAGCAAGTCCTCACAGGTGCACAGTAGGTGTTTGCGCGAGCGGGTGTGGTTCACTAGGACAGAAAGCGACTTTTTCGCGTTTCGCAGCGCGAAACATTTTCCGCTGCGGGAACCTCAGGTCCACCGCTGATCATCAGTGGACCCGAGGTTCCCGCAGCGAATCATCAGTGGACCCGAGATTCCCGCAACGAACAATGTTTTCGCGCTGCGCAAACGCGAAAAAGTCGCTTTCTGTCCTAGTGAACCACACCCTGCGCGAGCAGCGTTGGTACGTTGATGAAGTCTGCAGTGTTGCAGTCTAACAATCGGAGAGCAGAACCTCTTCGGGTGAAGGTCACTTTTTGCAGCTGTTGTCGTCTACGAGCTGCTATGTCTCTCATCATGCTGGCCGTACATATTTGTATAGAAGCGCACATTCTCAACCCGCTAACGACCTCTGTCACGGCAAATTAAAACTACAACTTTTTAAATATGCGATCTTGCCAAATGTCTCGCATGTTTCCACCAAGCAAGTCGATCCACAACCCGTAATCGTTTTCATCTCGCCAGCTTAATGCATAATTTTCCTGTCGGTCCAAAGCATCTACTCATTTGGAGCACATGCCCAGGGTTCCTAAAAATTGACGGTATCTTAGTAAGCGCGCGGTTGCCCCTGAAATGTGCTTTGATTCATTCACGGTAACTGCGTCATGGGTATTGCCGGAACGTGGATCTTTAGGGACTCGTACTCGCTTTCCAGCCTAATTTCCTTAAACCATTTTATCGACGGATCCTGTTTTTTTTTTTTAGCTGTACCTCGCTTCAGCTGCGCAGATGCTGGTCACGGATAACCTCACATCTGAAGTGCCTATTACTGGAGCACGTAAAGTTTACAGTGGCGGGCGAAACAGACATCAGTTACTGTTTCTTCCTAGAGACGAGTACAGTCGGTTGAATTTCGAAATATGGAGTACTATGTCCTGTGCATATGAAGCGCGTAGGAGACGACACCAATATTTTTTTTTTAGAGCAAGTTTGGCGCCGGGTATACAGACATCGCTCTTATGACTGTTATGACTCGGCCTAATTGGGAGCAGCATGCCCACTTATTAAAATAGGCCAATATCGGCTATAGTAGTCCCAATTTGTACAAGGGAACGAAGTTTAGGACATGTTTAAAAGGGGAAGCGAAAATTTTCATGCACTGGGAGATTGCATTCCCTTCAAAAAATTGGAGGTACTGCTGCCTTCACGAACTATTACACCATATGCTCCACTCCTTATTGGAACGTCCGCTGAGGTGGTGGTGTACTTGAATCGACTGTACTAAAGCTTCATAAAGATAAAGCATTTGCCGTTGATCAATCCCTTTTTGGGATGCGGCACGCATTCTACTTCCATTTGTACATTCGCAGTGGCATTTGAATGCGATGTGGCCTATACAATGACTTGCGGGGGCCAGCCGATGTTCAAGTCAGTGTTTTTATCCTCCCAGACAAGTCTGGTACCAATTAACCGACCCCGGAGGGATGGAAGGCTTGGTTGGCCCGGGCGACTCACGACCCAGGATTTGATCCCCGGACCGCTCGCGTGGTGAGCGCGCCACTTTCCTAAGCCACTTCCACCATAATGCTGTCATATGTACCCAACAAAATTGACGTTGGAAAGTTTAAAGCGGTTCTCATTCCTCATATCTTGATTGCATGGGTTTTCCGAGTTCCATGCTATCTTACGATAGGTGTCAGACTTCACGAGCCGATTGTAGTCACGAAGTCTAATACCTATCTATAACGTCAATAAATTCATTTATTGGTCGCTGATCGGTTCGTTGAGCTTCGTATTCTTTTCCCGTGCCATGCATTCTACTAGCGCAGATTCTGTATGCCATAATTTTTTCTTATGGATGTTTCGATGTCATGACTAATGGGCAATTTTATCGAAATTTCATCTGTTTTTGTCCTTCTATCGACTAGTTTCGAAATATTTGAGCTTTCAGCGTATGGGAGTCTCCATCGATTGGATAGATGTTTTGTTTCCGGTAGCTGCTGAATTCTCGACTCTTCGAGCTGCCCCAAATGCTGCTCGCGATTCGTTGAGGGCGATACTGCTTCTTACCCTCTTTCGCTCTTACCTTTCGCAGCAGCTATGGTACGCAAATGCTAATTTTATTTCGATGGTATTTTCACTATTTCGCCAACTTTGTTTGAGTCTTGCTCTTCCAGTTAGCTACTGTTTTGCGAGGCGATTGGGCTAGAAGCCATGTTACGTCATTCATTGCTTGTACGGGTGGTGGAGTGTTCCTCGCTACGTGCATGTTAGATCTATTACCAGGTCTGTTCTCCTTCTGAATGCTGCATCCTTCGATTTTGTGGGCACCTATGAGGATCTCTTTCCAGACGCCATTGAATCATACGAGAAATCAGGATTCAAGTCGAGTTTCCCAGTCGCGGAAGCAGCTGTGGCGGGTGGGCTACTGATGGTTCTGACGATTGAACAGGTATGCTTGTACTATTTTATGGCAAGTTGGTACTTCTGTACGTCATCTCTTTCCTAGTGTAGCAATTTTTGGGCTTTTAATTAGTGTTGACCCTAGTACAGATACGGCAGGCTCTCTTTCGAGTCATAACCATGCATACATAATCGGCTCAGTTTTTCATATGTGCTGACTTCTCATTGTATCACTCTTTTCCTTAGGTTGTTCTCGCTGTCCAAGAGCGTGGATGGATTAGGTCAGGTCATCTGCACCTCCACGATGAAGGAGAAAGCTCTCATGTCCAAGTACGTACTTTTCGATGTGGGAGTGAGATTTTTAGCCAATTTTATTGATTTTTCACAAATATTCAGGATGTATCTCACTCGGATGATAGTGAAGAAGACGCGAATCCGATGTTGGGAGCGTGCCTTCTAGTGCTCGCATTGTCATTGCATGCGCTCTTTGAAGGTCTTTCATTAGCCGTCATAACTGATGCTTCTAAATTGCTGCAGGTTGGCAATTTTATTGACTCATTTCGGTGGGCTAAACTAGATAGAAGCTTACATTCAGGTTTTCGCTGCCCTTATACTCCACAAAAGTATAATAGGATTCAGTCTTGGCGTACGCCTTGTGCAAAGTGGCATGCGCACCCCATGGGTCGCTCTTTGTGCATCCATATTTAGTATACAGGTAAGTGCGGTTTCGCACATGTTAAAGAAAAGGCAGACTATTGTTGATCAGTTTTTGTGAGACTATGCTGGACTTATGAAGGTATACATTAGGTACTAATCGGCGGGCTAGGTGGAATGGAAATTATGTCTATGATTTCTGGTGGCGATCGATCAACAGCCGCCCTTGTTTCTACTATACTTCAAGGTCAGTTATAAGTAATTGGACTTCATTTTGAATGTGATTAAATAAAAATTTCGGCATATTCCACAATTACTGCCCCAAAATAAATTTTATTTTCCGTTCTAATTTCGCCAATAGAGGTAAATCGATGCCTTGAATACGAATATGATAATCGTTTTTAACATCTCGACACTGACGCCAGTTGGCCCCGCCTTGTTACAACGGCTGTTTTCACCAAATTCGGTGTAAACTTGTGAATAGGGCTTGTTCGGTGTCCTATTTTCAAATATGACAATCGCTTTTGGAATTATTACTCTGTAGAAATATTTTTAGCGCATATTTTTGCGTGTCCTGGCTTTCTATGTTATAATGCTAGAGGGTAGAGCTCTTTTGACAAAAGGGAAATTCCGGCCGTAGGCCAACTTGGCACAATCGTATGACAAAAGATGAGCGTGAGATCACAAGAAAAGGACGAGTGGTTTACTCACGCTCTTAATTCTCATTCTTATCCAAAGCCAGATCATACAAGATTAGCGAGCTAATTAGTAAAGAGAGCGCAGACGAAGGCAATTCATAGGGGCCGTCGCGCGCAATACTATTCGTTCTGTAACTCGATTTTTTCTAACAGGCAAAGTTTCGACAAAAAAAAATTTGAGATTTGGACAGTACTAAATAGTGGAATGGACCGAAATTTCAAACAGTGGGCAACCACTTAAACCTTTTCGTATAATGTTTGCCTGTGGAACTTTCCTTTATATAACAACCTTCGAAGTTCTGCCGCACGAATTGCGAAAGGCTGGTAATCGAATTTCCAAGCTGTTTTGTTTATTTCTTGGTGTGTCACTTATTGCAGGTTACATGATCCTCTTTTCCTGAAGCTGATTAATTTAATGATTTTGGCTTTCCTATTGCTTTATCCTATGCGCAAAGGTTGCAGTTATTAGTACCTCTTCCTTGGTATGCCGCCTACTTTTCACTTTGTCCTGAAATCGGTGCTCAAATTGCAACTGTCAACCTATGCCCTACTTTTTCCTTTTATATTCATTGTTTTACTCTAACATATAGTATCTTACTCCGTGATGTGCGTATCGTATTCTGCTTTTTGTGATGTTATAGTGACTTGAACGATTAGAATATCTCACACTTGGAAATGCAATTTGTAGTTTTTCTAGTCTTGTTATCTAACATAGCTCAGAACGGGTCACAGTGCTGTTTTTGGTGAACTATGGCTTACAGCTAGCTTTTCGCAATAGTATACACTGGTAGAAGAATTACAGAGTTAAAAAATCCGTGTTTTAATTTCCGCTCCTCTATTGAGCTGATTTATCACACAATTTGCCGAGTCATCGTGCGTAATTCACTTTTTTGGAGTGAGGCGTTAGCTGAACGAGAATGCGCAAGACCGATTCATTCTTCAGAGCTATAAAGCTACTTGAACTGTTTGTCTTTTATGCGTCATTACTTCTTCCTCAAAACATCGTCGTTTTTGTTAAATCGATTGTTTTGTAAAAGAACGTCCTTTCTTTTATGAGAAGTGTGAGCTTCTTTTTTATTGGTACGATTCTCTCAGGATTATGGTGAAAACCACTTCTACAAGCAATCCTGTATTTCACTTGCAATTTAAATGGTACATAGTCATCTGTTTTCGTTTTATTGTATAGACTTGCCATGAGCCTTATTTTGTGCTGCTTTACATCTCGTAATACTACGGCTCAGTCTATATTGTCAATTTTGTGCATTACTGATTGCTTTTTCGTTTTGATGTAAGTTGTAAATATTTGAGGATTCTTTAGCTGTTGTGTAAATTGTCATGCAGGTATATTGACCATAAACTTATGAGCTCTGCGACCATTCAGAAGAATACTGTAATGTCAGACAAGTACTGTTAATTCAACTTTTTGTGAAGTGGGCAAAATATTTCATTTACTTTACAGTGCAGCAAATGCTGAAGGCACCATGAGCCATGCTTTTTTATTTTATAGCATTTTCAGTTGTCGTATGGGTATCGATTCGGTGAGTCGAGCATATTGAATCATAGTTTCATCAGATTTGAGCTGAATATGTTCAGGTATTTTGGGATATTCCTCTCATGGTTACTGTCAGTAGTTATTCGATGTCCATTAGAAATTGGTAGTGTTGGTTGGTGGAGACTCAGCGATGTGCGAATTCGTTTACCAAGTGGACTCAACGTCTATGTTGATATATGCCAGCTTCAACTGTTCTCCGTTTTAGTAAGTAGCTGCAACATACGGAGCTCATCCTTTTTTTTTTGGCTTGAGGGAACAAATGATGAGGAATGGTCTCAGTTTCTTTTATTAGTATTCTTTTTTCTCTTGGAATGCCAGTACATTTGGTAGCGGCTGTCATTAATGAAGGTTGTCACCCACATTCTCTCTGCACATCAAGCTTTTTATTCGTAGTCACAGAAACCGCATTACAGTAAACCTCTTCTGCTGTCGTTATCTAATGTTAAAGTGGAAGGAGATGCTCAATCTCTTGCACAAGCTTCACCTACAAGGAGAACTGGTGTGCCTCCTAGGCGCACCGATTCTAAGCATTCTTTATTCTCTCGTGTTACTCAACTAATTCAGGTTGCTTTTTCCTTTCTTTCTTGTCTATTAGCACTCGAACTTTCCTTTCTTCTTCTTTTTTTGTTCAATCAATGTTGAATTTTTAGTATTGTGGATTGTATGTTTCTCGAGGACAAGTAGTTCTTTTCGATGCTCCTCCTGGATGTATTTTTCATGTAACCATCGATGAGCTGTTGATGGAAACGTTGGAAACGTTTCAGAAGCCGTGACGGGTACAGTTTTATAGAATCTTGTTGACCATTCGTGAACAACAGTACTCGTTTAGCTGGCAGCTCGAAACATCATGTTCACTGACGCGAGCAAAAGCTATCCGTCGCCAGAACACGATGGGTCACTCCCTTTTCGATCTTTGGTCTTCAATTTAGACTTTTCTGTAGATATCGCTGAGGTCGTCTCAAAGTCCGTATTTCCGGTGTTACGATCCGCTGTTGAGTTTCCGGAGCGGTAAAGTGTGAAGATCCGTGTATGTGTAGTGCTATAGTGAAATATGAACTTGCCACGTAATTATCACATGGGCGAAATGTTGCCAGTACACTACCTGTGTGATTGCAAAAGTGACATGAGCTAGCATGGATTCGAATTCTCGTTTTGCTCAGGCTGATTCGGTTGTTCTTTACGATAGTTGCTTTAGGTGTGTTCGACGAACTTGAAGAGCATGGAGACTCCTTCAAGTTGTCTGGAAATGCCGTTGACAATGCGGAAAACTTATCAATGGCAAAAGGAGCTCTTCTCGATCGAACTTCTTATCGGATTATGCATTGAAACCAACAATTGTCTTTGAAATATAATAATTTATCAAGGTGGAGAAAGGTGATTCCAAAATTGTCTTTATCCAAGTTCATTTTTCAATTCTTGGATTGGATTTTTTCAGTCGAATGTTAACGATAGCATTACGAGGACTGTCGGTCACCAAAGATAGCGGGAAGACTCAAACACGTGTAGTGGGATTGTCAGTTGAAGATCAGCGCCAGCGACTAGCTTTACGGACAAGTCTTCTCGTTCTATCACATGAGGTTTGTACGTTTGTATTTCCTTGTCTCAATAGCCTCTTCCAAATTAGACGATATCGCAGTCGGCAAGTACTCTGGCTCCCTGGCAGTGGGGGGCATCTCGCTACGAGTTTGCTGATTGTGGCGCAGTCTCCATCAACTGAATGCTTGAGAATATTCCTCAATTTTCAGAAACGGGTCACAGGAGTGTTTGTGCAAGTTATTTCGGATAGTGTTCAAACTTCTTCTTTCTATACAGGCATGTCGCATTTTGGAAACTTCACGTAGATTCTGTTCTTCCAGTGATAAGGAAAACCGTAGTACGTTCCTTTGTGGTTTCGATGTTACTACTGTTTCCATCTTGACGTCAACGATTTATGGAAAAAGAACATATTCAGGGGCAGTCACCACCAGTTGCTCCTTCGACACCACCTCGTATTCCTGTCACATTCTCTGTAGAAGTGGCGTCTATTTTTTGTGATCTCGTGGATGCCGATGCATTCCAGTCAACTTTATCTGTGCAATTTTTGAGTATCACAAAAGTAAGTTGAAACAAAAAATTCAATCTCCAATAATACCCGCTTCCTCGTCTTCAGTTGGATGCGAATCCAACAAACGGTTTGTCTTGGACGTCAGTTCATATTTTATCGGTAGGAATTCCCTTGCATGCAGTGCTCATGGGAGTGATATGGCACCCAATTTGACAATAGCGCAATAAAACACCATGTGATGAATCACTGAAAAGCGTCCTAATATCACGATGCGCTAAATGTTATAAGAGTTTGTCCTATATTTCCTCATCACGCTGATAACATTAATAAATTTTCATCGTGATCGGGAAAAATTCAAGTACGATTCCCACCTAACATAACCGACCTCTGTTATCCCTTCGAATTTGCAAGCCTATTTCACAAGGAGAGAGATGTCTTGACGGTGGAACTCTCGACATTCGGAAATAAATACAGCAGAAAGCACTAAGCGCTGCAAAAGGTTTTCATCATATAATCTTTCGGAAGGAACCTCCCCCCCCCCGGCTTTTAATTCTCAAATTTAATGCTGTCTGAGAAGAAGGGTATCGAGGTTCTCTCCGCTGACGCTTCATCTAATGCTGATTTTTCATCCAAGCTGAGCTGGAAAAGATCAGCATTGATTTGCTAAATAACGCAAAAAGGTGCAGCTACTACACGGCCAGCGCTTAGATAACAAAACAAAGGAGGCTTCTAAAAGTAATGAAGATGCAGCCCTTGCATCGACTTAGAAAACCAACAATTCTTTGAATTATTAATCTTTTTTAAGTGGTTCTCGATATTTCTAGGAAGAACATATGCTGGAAGTAGGAGTAGATTGTCTTTGCATTGCGGGTCCCAGCATACGGCTGGTAGATGCAACCTTCGAACGCCATCAGTGGGGACAAGTCGGTAAGTTC